CTCTTCCTCCTCCTCCTCCTCCTCTACCACCAAGCTGTATGCCTAGCTCACTCCTCCTCCTCTACCACCAAGCTATATCCCTAGCTCCCCCCTCCTCCTCCTCTTTTTTTTTTTTTTTAAAGATATATAGGTATCTGCTGAAATACTTAAACTTGTATATCTCCTTGAACATATTCAGCAGTTATTTTAAAGTCTATATTTGAAGCTCCGGTATCTGCAGCCATGATGGGCCTCTGCACTGTCTGTTGTTTTTCTAGTTTTCTTACTATCTTGTCTCATATGCCTAGTTACATTTTGTTATATTCAGGATTATTGCATTAGTAAAATTTGTTTGTAGAAATAATTTGAGATTTAGAATTATATTTTCCTCCAGAGAGAATTTTTATTTGCTTATGCCATGGGTTTGGGGAAACAGACACTCTGGGAGCACCTTAATCTACTTTCAAGGTTGATATGACTGGAAGTTGGGCAGCAATCCCTTATGGGAGTCTATTTCCCTCTTTCCATTCACCTTTTCTTTTCTGAGTTGCAAAGGCTGATGGTCTCCACCGAAAGCAAGGGACTGTCCAGGCCTTTAACAAGCCCTGTCCATACTTTTGGAAAACTGTCAAAACACACTGATCTTGGGGTTGGGATGTAGCTCAGTGGTAGAGCACATTGAGAACCTGAGTTCCATACCAACACCTGCCCCAATCACAGATCAGCCTCTGAACAGCCTCCAAGTTTAAAAACTTTAAGCCCAGTTTCCAGGCCTCCATATCCTCAAGGTCCTGGTCTAATAGTATTTCAAAACCATGTTTGCTCTCTGATGTCTTCAAATAGATTGTTTCCAGTCTTTTTATTTTTTTCAAATTACTAAAAAAAAAAAAAAAAAAAAAAAAAAAACCAACTTTATTTACTATTTAGCTTTTTGACTCTGCTGGTGCGTTTGGCACTTGACAATTTTCTGTTCCTAGACAGGGAAACCAGGCCTGAGCCTGTCACGCATTCAGCACACATGGAACCACCATAGAATTTGCTCAGGTGCTTTTTCGTTTTAGACAATCCCTTAAAAGCTTGTGGGATCAACCCCTCTAAGTATATCTGGGCATATTACATGTGCTTTCCCAGGCTTCTTGGGATAAAGCTAAACAATTCTATTACCAGGGGTGTGAGGAAGTCTAGTTATGTTAGAGAGCCTATGATGGCATGTCAAATCCTGCACCACACCAAGTGTTTATAGACACAATTCTTAGCATCAAGAGTTGAAGAGATTTTTTTTTCTCTTTTGTAGTACTGAGGACTGAACCCAGGGCCTCGAGCATGTAGGCAAATGTTCTACCCCTGAGATATACCCAGCTTTTTTTTTTTTTTTTTTTTTTTTAAATCTTGCGACAGGGTTTTGCTATGTTGCTAATGATGACCTCAAACTTGCAGGTTTCCTACCTCTTTTAGGATTACAGGCATGAGCCACTGTGCTTGGCCTTAAGCAATTTTAAAAATATTTTTCCAGGCTACCTAGTTACCCCCCCATTAGGATAGTCAATCTAAATTACCTACCTACCATTACCAGGAGCTTAAGTCCTCATAATTTTTGTGTTAGTTATTTGAATGGTCTTTTACAATATGCAAAATGTTAGTACACCACTGTCCTTTTTTGTGTTTAAAAAACATATTTTTTTTCTTTTGTATTGGGGATTGAACTCGGGCACTGGACCACCAAGCCACATCCCCAGCCCTATTTTGTATTTTGTTTAGAGACAGGGTCTCACTGAGCTGTTTAGCACCTTGCTTTTGCTGAGGCTGGCTTTAAACTTGTGATCCTCCTGCCTCAGCCTCCTGAGCCACTGGGATTACAGGTATGTGCCACCGAACCGGGCTACTAAAAAACATAATTTTTTTTTTTTAATATTTATTTTTTTTTTTAGTTCTCGGCGGACACAACATCTTTTTTTTTTTTTTTTTTTTTTTTTTTTTTTTTTTTTTTTTTTTTTTTTTTTTTTTTTTTTTTTTTTTTTTTTTTTTTATTTTTTTTTTTTTTTTTTAGTTCTCGGCGGACACAACATCTTTGTTGGTATGTGGTGCCGAGGATCGAACCCGGGCCGCACGCATGCCAGGCGAGCGCGCTACCGATTGAGCCACATCCCCAGCCCCTAAAAAACATAATTTTTATAGAAACAATTAGGCCCTTGCACAATTACTCTCACCAACAAGAACTGTGCATGGTTTCTGTCTTGGTGTTGGGATGGAACCCAGGGCCTTGGACATGCTAAGCATGGAGCACTATCAATGAGCTCCAACCCTGCTCTTAAATTGCAGGTTTCTATATTCATGGCAATAAGCATGGGTTACCTCTTGGGTACTCTTGGTAAACATTATGAAAAGTGGAATTGCAGGGCGTACACTGCTCCTCCAGTAGTGTAAAAGAGCACACTCAGTTTCTGACCTGTATTAACACTGGGTTAACTGATTCACAAGTGTTTATGGAGAATCTATTAAGTATGATATAACAGATACTGATTAGTTAGGTAGTTTTGAGACCTCAAGCTAAACCCTAGAGTTCACGTTTTAGCTCTCTTCTGCTTTTCCAAGTTACGAATTCTTCCCAAATAGGTTTTTTTTTTTTTTTTTTTTTTTGCGGGGGGCGGGGGGGCCGGGGCGGTGAGGTGCTGGAAATTGAACCCAAGCCCTCACATTTGCTAGGCCAACTTTCTACCACTGAACTACATTCCCAGCCCTCTTCCCAAGTATGGACAGAACTCTAATTTCCACTGTTTAAATTTTTTTATTTTTTTCAAATCAAACTGATAAGGTAGAATAGTCAACTCAATATTTTTGGTTACTAGTTCAATAATGTTTGGCAATTCTAAAAACAGGAAAAACAAGTAACCAACCAATAAGTGTATAAAATTTTCATTAGAAGTAAAATGCAAATAAAAATACACTATTTTTTTCTATCAAAGTGGCAAAACATTTTTTTAATGATAATAAATACCCAGTGTTTGTAAGGGTCAGAAAGTGAGTGCTCTTTTATTCTGCCGGAAGAGGGTAAATTAGCACAGTTTTTGGAGGAACAAGTGTCAAAACAGCAAAGCCTTGGAAATGCGCACACCCTGCAATTCCACTTCTCATAATGCCAAGGAAATAATTATGAGTGTGGATCCAAACTGAGTGTGATGGTGCACGCCTGTAATCCCAGATATTTGGGAGGTGAGGGCAGCTTGGACAGTCTAGCGAGACCAAGCTCAAATGAAAATAATAAAAGGTCAGATGCAGCTCAATGGTAGAGCCCTTGCCTACCAGGTGTGAGGCCTTGGTTTCAATCCCCAGTACTGCCAAAAACAAATTTTAAAAAATGTGGGATATAGAATTAACTATGAGGCTGCACATTATATCATCAATTATAAAAAAACTGCAGGCAACCTAATAGTGGGTTATAGAAATAAATTATAGTGAAGTGATACAATAGAATATGATAATAATAATGGTGTACATGGATGGGTAGCTACTGACAAGGGAAGATATTCACCCTTTTATTATTTTGCAGTGCTGGGGACTGTACCCAAGTACTCTACCATGGAGCTACATCCCCAACCCCTTCACTCTATATTATTAAATAACAAAAAGCAAGTTATAAAAGAGTACAGTATGAACTCACATTTCTTTTAAAAACTGTACATGTAATATATACATATAAAAACAATGAGAAGGATATGTATATCCTTGGCATTATCATTGGCAATCTCTGGATAGTAGTCTGAATTAACTGAAAAAAATTATACCCATTTTAAAATTTTATTTTAACAAACATGTACTGTTTCTTTTGCAATTAAAAAAAGAAAAGTTAAAGGCTAATTTTAAAAAATGCTGAGCTTAGGTTTTGACTTGTGATGTGAACGGCCCCATGTCCCTAGGGGCAATTACTTGGTTTTGTTCCTCTGACATGAGTGGGTAATTCTCATTTGTTCATGAAATCTCATAATAATGGACATTTGACCATATGTCAGGAAAAGTTCTCTGTTTCTACTGGAGCTCATTCAAGCTGAATGGGGAAGGAAGCCACTTTTCTAAGCAAATAGGTTAGTTGCAAAACTATGCTCAAGGCCTGTACTTTAGTGGGGAAGTCCTTAGAAAGTTCTGGAATGAAGGGAGAAAGAAGCAACAGATGCAAAGGAARGGACTTAGTGCTAATTCCAATGTCAGGCCTCTGGAGGTGGGGTCGCTCAGAGGACACCTAATATTTAGTCATACAGATCCCTTCCGAGAAAGTAAGTCATTTCAGAAAAGAAAGGACAGAATACTTGCAAATCATGGTGAATACTTAAGCTTGCTAGTATCAAACACAACAACCCCACAGCAATAGAAGAGGCATATTGGTGGGAAAAATCTGTATTCTGGACTGGTAGGGAGATTCATTTGAATCAAAACTCTGAGGAACACACTGGGCATGTCCGATAAATCATGATGCTATCTATTACATAAGTCTGTCCTAAGAACAAGGTAATAAAGTTACCTGTCCAGAGGAGATAGGCAAAGGCCTTTCCCTCATATATCCCATATCCTCCAGTCTCCAGGAGAGGCTGGTTAACTGTCAAGCTTGTTTCCCTTGGGTGGCTCAGATGGGGCAGACAGTCTGAGGCTAATGTACAGGCTGTAGGCATGAGGAGCCAATAAAAGGAGAAACCATATTAACTTTTGAAGTAAAGAGGGGGCACATCCACTTTGCAATAAAACACCAGTGTCCACCCAGAGCAAAGATTCACAAACATGATATTAGAGATGTACCCAAAGTAATGTGTTTCTCATTAGTGATTTAAATACTGAAGTCTGTAAATGTTTTACTTTTAGAAATAATAAATTAATGTAGATAACAAGGTTAGCCACAAAGCAGTATGTCTCAGATAGGTGTATGCCTTTTTTTTTGGAGGGGGTACTAGGGATTGAACTCAAGGACACACAACCACTGAGCCACATGCCCAGCCCTATTTTGAATTTTATTTAGAGACAGGGTCTCACTGAGTTGCTTAGTGCCTCACCATTGCTGAAGCTGGCTTTGAACCCTTGATCCTCCTACCTCAGCCTCCCGAGATGTTGGGATTACAGTCGTAATCTGTGCCCAGCATGCATAAGCTTTCTTTTTTCTTTTTTTTTGTGGTGCTGGGGATTGAACCACTGGCCTTGTGCATGCGAGGCAAGCACTCTACCTACTAAGCTATGTCCCCAGCCCCCAAATATGCTTTCCTGAATGAGAAAAAGATGGAGTTTCATCTATCAGCACATGAGCATCTTTTGTCATATGTCATGGCTAAAAAGTTGAATACTGCTCTTCTAGAGCAAGAAAAAAACAAAAGCAAGTCCTGGGTAAAAGACAGCCTCGGCAGAGCGCCAGGTATGACAGTATCTTAAAACGAGGGGAAAGGGGATCAGGACACGTTATGCACGGGGACCTGGCCCGAGGCATGCAGGGGGCGCGGAGGAAGGAGGCCTGGCCCTGTGCGTGCTCCAGTGGAGGTGTTGGTGCTCGTCGCTTGTATTAGTACAGAGAAGGCAGCACAGGAGTTACAAAGGTCCAACGCCAGTTCTTGTGGGGAGAGCTTTTATAGTTCGGGTGGATCTGAGTCCCCATCCCCTAAGTTACTCATGGGAAACCCGTTCCAAGGCCACATAGAAACTGTTCTTGTCATCGAGGCAATGCCAGCCAATGGGTCCAATTTCACAGTCTGCGCAGACCAGAAACTTGATGTTGCCCACATCCTTGGTGAAGCCCACATTCTCAAAGATGAACATGTCATCCACCAGCCAGTGCTCCTGGAGGAGATCGCCTTCAGGGTTGCTGCCATCAGCCAGAGCTGGCTTCTTTCTCATGGAGGGAAGGAAAAGCTGCAGTGGAAGAGAACATAAGGAACATACAAGCTGAACTGGCCCAGTCACATTGTCACTCTCATTCTCTTTACACTTTGCTCCTAGCAGCTTTCTGAAAGGGGGGGAAAAAATGAGGAGCCCTTTCCTCAGGATATAGACTGAAATGCTGAGTGGCTCTTCTGGGTCTAAAGAGAGATGGAAGAGAAGCTCAGCTGGTGGCTTCCCTGCTGCACTGACTGATGTGGGGCTTTGAAGGCCCCACATGGCCCCAGGCTCTCCCTGGCTCATTGTGCTCCAGGCACACTGGTCTTGCTTCCTGCACTAGCACAAGTCTGCTCTGCCCTCAGAGCTGGGCATGGCCAGCACCTTCTTTTTTAAAAAAATTTTTCTAGTTATACATGGACACAATATCTTTATTTTGTTTATTTTTATGTGGTGCTGAGGATCCAACCCAGTGCCTCACTATGTGTGAGGCAAGTGCTCTGCCGCTGAGCCACAAACCCAGCCTGGCCAGTACCTTTTTGGTATTCAGCTCAAATATAACCTCAGGAAGTTGTCTCTAACCAGCCTGAATTAGCTTTCTATACTGCCCACTGCATTTTTTTTTCAAAAAGAAAGTTTGATTGAAGTATAAGTATGAACAATTCATAAACTACACATATTTAAAGTATATAGTTTGATACATTTCAGCACATTTATGCACTGGTGACACTGTTACCATAATTAAGATAACTAATACATTCATTACTCGTAGCAGTTTCCTCATGCTGCTTCCACTTTTTTTGTTATTATTTTCTGATTGATTATCATCATCATTAATATTTTTGGTATTGGGAACTGAAACTAGGGGCCCTTTACCACTGAGCTACATCCTCATCCTTTTAAATTTTGAGACAGGGCCTCATAAATTGCTGAGGGTGGCCTTGAACTTGTGATCTTCCTGCCTCAGTCTTCTGACTTGCTGGAACTACAGTCATGCACCACTGTGCCCAGCTGCACACGACTCTTTTAACTTCCTCCACAAGAGCAGTTTATAATACTTTAGCTGCATCCAGAATGCTGAAAGACACAATGCCCCTCTGCTTCTCATTATTACTGCTGTTATCTTACTTTTTTCTCACCTCACAATATATTTCTAATGCATTTCCAAACTGCAATACTATAGGATGGCCTTGGTGTGCTAGTCTGGCACTGGAAATCAGCATGTATTAATACACTGGAGGTAGCAAAATTGAAACCTGGGCCACACTGTAGTGTGTAGAGGATCCCTGAGGGGTGGGAGGGAGCCCTGATCCAGAACATGTCTACTCCACATCCTTCAAGCATCTAGCTTATTAATATTATTATTTGTGGTGCTGGGGATTTAACCCAGGGGTGCTCTGTCACTGAGCTACAACCCCAGCCTTTTTTTAATTTTGAGACAGGGTCTTCCTAAGTTGCTGAGGCTAGCTTCAAACTTGTGATCCTCCTGCCTCTGCTTCCTGAGCAGCTGGGATTACAGGCTTGTGCCACCATGCCCAGCCTGGCACTTGGCTTATTAAAACATATGTCTACTACCCTTTGCTTTGTGACCTGAGATGTCATCTGAAGATGTTAAAAATATGAAATTTTTCCTCCTTCTGCTACATTGTCATTTCAGTCCCTCTTTGCTTCATCTGATAGTTAAATGTGTCCCCAATGCTTTTTCTTACCCTAAATGAAAATGAGAACAGCAGAGACTTAAATATTTAAGAGTTGGGAATCAAAATTCAGGAACCAAGACACTTGAATTCCAGACCTTTCTGTAACTTTCTGTGGGCCTGAATTTCCAAAAAAATATTACTGGTCTGTCCTTTGTCTTGCAGGTGTGAAGTCACACCAAAAGCAGAATAACTAGTTAAGATACTTGGTAACTAGTTAAGATATTCAACCAAGAATTCAGTGTGTCCAACAAAACAGAGTGCTTAAACCAACTGTCTTTAGGAGGTGCCCAGCAAAGGGGCACCAGCTTCCCTCTCCTGTTCCCGATTATAGTGCAAAGCGTACATCTGCAGTGTCTCCTCTGGTAGCCACTAAGACCTAAGACACTGCTGTTATTAACTGTCATTCATGGCATCATTTTGGGCCCTGTTCCATACACTCCTCAACACTCTTGTTTTTATTTAGCTCCTATAAGCCAGACCCATATGTAGTAAGACTACACCTTCGTATGCACACGTACGTGCACATCTGTGCCTGGACCTCAACCTATTCATCCCAAGGCCAAGAAAAACTCTAGGGCCAGGTGACTGGCTATGACATCTGGAATAAAATAAGGCTTTCTGGAAAGACTGTTGGGGTGAAAATAAAAATAAAACATTCATATCAGGGGCTGGGGTTGCAACTCAGTGGTAGAGCACTTGCCTAGCATGTGTGAGGCAGAGTTCAATTCTCAGCACTGTATATAAATAAATAAAATAAAGGTCCATTGACAATTAAAAAAAAATTCATACCAGATTTAAAGCAGGTGTCTCAGTTGGTGACCAAGGTTGCCACTGATATCCTGGCCAGGTAGGTTATCTTTGTTATCAGTACTACAGCTAGTTAGTTAGTACCCATACTCCTGGACAGCTTCTTCAGGAATAGATAGAACACCACAACCCAGTAAGCTTCTGTTGATGCACTGATCACAATACCCTTTTAAAAATAAAATAGCTCCCTCTCATTGTAAAAATACATTCTCATACAAAACTTGGCAAGCATGCTACAGTTTGAATGAGAATAAAAACTGTTATAATGCAGAGTAAACTTCTGTTAACTTTGTGGTAATTATCTCCCTTCTGTGAAAACTTGTGGTTTAAACATCTATAAATTCTTTGATAATTCTCTGCTAGGAGGTGGAGCATGGGCAGGCCAAGATGACTGCCTTGGCTATAAGGCAGTGAAAGTGCCAGGCTAGCTTAAAAAGGGCATGCAACTTGTGTTTCTCTTGGGATACTTGCTCTGAGGGCCTTCAGCCATTAAATTAGAAGTCAGATTACTGGGCATGGTGGTGCATGCCTATAATTCCAGCAATTTAAGAAGCTGAGGCATAAGGGTTGCAAGTTCAAGACCAGCCTAGGCAATTTATTTATTTTTAAAATAATGTTTAAAATTGTAGATGGACACAATATCTTTATTTGTTTATTTTTATGTGGTGCTTGGGATCAAACCCAGGGTCTCACGCATGCAAGGTGAGTGCTCTACCACTGAGCTACAGCCCTAGCCCCAGCCTAGGCAATTTAGCAAGACCCTGACTCAAAATAAAAAAGGGCTGGGATTGTGTAGCTCAGTGGTAAAGCGACCCTGGGTTCAATCCACAGCACTGCAAAAAAAAAAAAAAAAAAAAAAAAGTAAGTGAAAATAAATAATAATTAAAAAAGAAACAACCCAGAAATTCCATGTACTTTTTACCTGGTTCCCCCAAAGGTAACAGTTTGCAAAACTGCACAATATCCCAATCAGCATATAAACACAGATTAGTCCATAGATTTAATTATTCAGATGACACCAGTTACTTCTCATTTGTACACTTGTGTATTTAGTTCTTCTTTTTTTTTTTTTCCCTTCCCATTACTGGGGATTGAACCCAGGGCTGCTCTACCACTGAGCTACATCCCCAGCCCTTTTTAATTTTGAGACAGCGGGTCGCTAAGCTGCCCAGCCCAGGCTGGCATCCACTGTGATCCTGCCTCAGCCTCTCGGGTAGCTAGTGCCACCATGCTCAGCATGGGCATATTTATCTATACCATTTTATCACATGTAAGTTTGTATATCCACTGTCACAGAAAGACAGTGAATAGTTCCACTGCCTCAATGACCCTCACACTGCTCTTTTATAATCACACTCAGTGTACCCCTACCCCATTTCCTATCCCCTGGCAACCACTAACCTGTCTTTTGCTTATGAAAAATTTTGTCATTTTGAAAATGTTATGTAAAAGGAAGCATACAATATGTAATCTTTTAAGACTTCTTCCTTCTTCCCTCCCTTCCTCCCTTTTTTTCTCTTTTCCCTCCCTTCCCCCTTCCCCTTCCCCTCATAATGGAGACTGAAYCCAGGGGCACTTAACCACTGAGCCACATCTTTAGACTTCTTAATTATTTTTAGTGACAGGGTCTCATTGAGTTGCTTAGAGCGTCACTAAATTGCCTCAGCCTCCTGAGCTGCTGGGATTACAGGTATATACCACCATGCCTGGCATGAGTCTTTCTTTTGATTCATATCCTGTCCACTTCATGGATGTCCACCCCCATGGCTCCCTCCCCACCTCCATTCTAATTACCTTAGCTCCACTTCAGCCTCATTTCCTGCCACCATTCCACCCTAGGAGTGGGAACTGAACCCAGGGACACTCTATCACTGGGCCATACCTCCAGCCCTATTTTGTATTTTATTTAGGGACAGGGTCTCACTGAGTTGCTTAGTGCCTCACTTTTGCTGAGGCTGGCTTTGAACTCTCGATCCTCCTGCCTTGGCCTCCGGAGCCACTGGGATTACAGGCGTGCGCCACTATACGCAGCTCCCCAGCCCTGTTTGAGACAAGTCTCATTAAGTTTCTGAGGCTGGTCTTGAACTTGTGATTTTCCTTCTGCAGTGTCCTGGGGATTATAAGCATTTGCCACTGTGCCTGGATTCTGTCACTTTTATCAGACTATGTTCAGTTCTTCAGATGTACTATACTTTCTCTCAGCTATAAAATGCTGTTCACCCTGACTCTACTCAGCTTAATTATAATTTCCTCCACTAAAGACTTTAGGAAAGGCTATGATAAATATAGGTTCCCTAAACCAAAAATCTGATCTGAAATGCTCCACTATCTGAAGCTTTAGAAGCATCAACATGATGCCACAAGTGGAAAATTCCACAGCTGGCCTCATTTGATGGGTCATTGTCAAAACACAGGTACTAAAATACTGCATAAAATTACCTTTCGGCTATGTGGAAAGGTGTATATTAAACAAAAGAATTTCATGTTTAAACCTGGGTCTCATCACCAAGATATCTCATTATGTATTTGCAAATATTTCCAAATCCAAAAAATCTGAAGCCTAAAACACTCCTAGGATGGGGATGTATCTCAGTGGTAGAGCTCCTGCCTAGCAAGCAAGAGGCTGAGTTTCATAGCTAGCAATGCAAAAGATAAAAAAATAAAACAGGCCTATTCCCATGCATTTTGGAAAAGGACTAGTCAACTTAGTCCTTTTCAAGGGATAGGGATATTTTATTTGTGAAACCAATTCTATGAATAAAAAGAACATAAATCACATGCTACATAAATAGTGCAGTTTTGGTGCTGGCTAAACATACTGATCCACTATATCCATACTAACACATTATTTAGCTGGACTCATAGCTTTTTATTCATTAATTTATTTAAATCCAAACATTTCCTAGGTTCTAACTGATGTGCACAGTCTAGTTGTACAAGATGTAGAGACATGGACCTCATTGTCTAGTGTATAAGCAGCAAACAGAACAAATATTTTAATAAGGTCAACTGAGATGATAGATGTGAGTGCTTTCCAGTCTGTAGGCCAGGATTTCTCAATGTTGGAACTACTGACATTTTGAACTAAAGATTTCTTTGCTCTGGGAACAGGCCTGGGTGTTACAGGATGCTAAGCAGCATCTCTTGCTTCTACCTGCTAGATGCCAGTAGCACCCTCCCCAATTTGGACAACCAAAAAAATCTCTAGACATGTCTCTAGATTTTTCCCTTTGAGGGACATAACTATGGAAACATTGCTTTAGACTAAAGAACTATGGAATATGAGATGCAGTAATTACTACACCCTAGATCTTTTTTTTTTTTTTTTTTTTCTCCCTTCAAGGTTTCTAAAGCTTTACAGGGTTTCAGTTAGGGAGAGCAGTGCCCTTCAAGTTGCAAATTGTTCTCTATAAGGGCAGGGACTTTTTTCTTCTTCCCTGAAATATATAACATATAATAGGTGAAGAGGTAATAACTGGTTAGAAATCTTCCACGAGATCTCAACTTCCTGTTCACATCATATCCTAGAATTTATGTTATTTGTGGAAAGAAAGGAGTACTGAAAAATAGTACTAAAATCAAGGGGAGATCTGGGTTGGATCAGAGTAGGGCTGCTAGAGTCTGGGGAAAGCATAATATTCTTCCAATAGCCTTTTTCAAGAAATAGGAAATTTCCAGAAACTCTGAAGCAATGGTAAAACACAAACTAAATAGACAAAAACAAAAGACCAAAACAAACAACCCTATCTCTTTATGTCTTTTTAAAAAGAGGGAGGTGGCACATGCTTGTAATCCCAGTGACCTAGGAGGTTGAGGCAGGAAGACTGCAAGTTCAAGGCTCACCTGGGTAACTTAGTAAGACCCTATTTCCAAAAAAAGAGACCAGCAATGTACCTCATTGGTAAAGTACTCCTGGGTTTAATCCCCAGGCACACCAAAATAAAATAAGGGAAAAATATTAGGCAGGTGTGGTGGTGTACACCTGTAATACCAACCTACTCAGGAGGCTGAGGCTAAAGGATTGAAAATTCAAAGCCAGGGAGACCCTGACTCAAAATAAAAAATAAAATGGATTGGAGATGTAGCTCTGTAGTAGAGTCCCTCTGGGTTCAATCCCTAGTACTGCAGGGGGAAAAATAAAAATAAAAAAGAGAAGAGAAAGAGGGGTGGTGGAGGTGAGCATTACACCTAAAAAACAATTCTTATGCTCCTTTCTAGAACAGCAGCCACTCTGTGTGAAAAAGAAATGTAACATGCATAATGTAATTTGCTTCCACAATGTTTGGCAACACTAGTTTACAATAATATATATCAAACAAAAAATAATTTAAACATAAAATTACCCAAGAATTTTATAAAAAATATTTTTAATTGTAGATGGACACAACACCTTTGTTTTCATGTGGTGCTGAGAATCAAACCCAATGCCTCACACATGGGAGGCAAGTACTACCAATGAGCTACAACCCCAGCCTACCTAAAGAAATTTTTTTTTCATACTGGGGATTTAGCTCAGGGGCACTCAACCACTGAGCCACATCCTCAGCCTTATTTTGTATTTTATTTAGAGACAGGATCTCTGTGAGTTGCTTAGCAGCGAGCTTTTTTGCTGAGACTGGCTTTGAACTTTGATCCTCCTTTCTCAGCCTCCCAGGCTAATAGGATTACAGGCATGTGCCATCACACCCAGCAGGAATTTCTTAATGTCTGCTTATAAAAGTAGACAACTTTCAGAGCATAAGAAATGGATATGAATACAGTATGTACCATGCTAATGCTTTCACACAAATTCTTCCCTACATCATCTTCATTTTTCAGCCCAGAAATCTTAAGTTCATGGTTTTGTTTTTTTTAAGTTGTAGATATACACAATATCTTTATTTTATTTATTTTTAATTTTATTTATTGGTATGTGGTGCTGAGGATAGAACCCAGTGCCTCATGCGTGCCACATGAGCACTCTGCTACTGAGCCGACCCCAGCCCTTTATTTATTTTTATGTGCTGAGGATCAAATGCAGTGCCTCACATATGCCAGGCAAACGATCTACCAATGAGCTACAACCCCAGCCCCTCATGGCAATGTTTATGAATGGTAAGGTCAGGATTTAATTTTGAGACCCATGTTCTTTCCACCTCTCTGTGATACTACTAACTTGGTAAAATAAGCCGAGAACTCTACTTCCAATCCTTGGGAGTCTTCCCAAGAGAGCAGGTGGGACTCCAACCTCTCTAGAGGGGAAGTCATCTAACTCCCACAGAATGGGGGGGGGGGGTTGATTCCTTTTTCCTTCTCTTATGAAAAAGGCTCTCTGCTTTGGAGGAAAAGGGGCTTCTTGCTACTATACTGAAAACTGCACTTTACAATCAGTTCAACTGCATGAAATAATAAGTTGGTCTATGTTATTTTTAAAAAATCATTTGGAATGATAGGATATGCATGTGGTTGCAATGAAATTATACTCCTGCACTTTCCTAAGGGTATGTTACATTTTAATAAAAAGTTTACCAAAATGAAAAATAATGTATCAACTTTCTCATTTGGAGTGATGGTGGTACGATGGGTATTAAAAGTCCTAATCTGAAGAAAAATTATTTGTTTTCCTTCGAAATTTATTTCCAGAATTTCTGATATCTATCTCACATGAAATGATTCGTCTCAAAACTGGAAAATTGTGCCTTGTAAAATTGTGTACCAGGAATTATTCTGCGGATCCCTACACCAAAGTTGTATCTGGAGCTCCAGATACAGTGGAGTAAGGATCCGGGCGACAACCGATCGGCGACTGAAAGATGCCCCTGCGGGTCTCACAGGTTGGCCAAAGCTCCTGGAAGCAGCGGGCTGGGGAGCACTCCTCGCACTAGCACGCGGAAACCTCCCTGGGCTCGGAGGGGCGCATTGCCCGCGCTCGGGAGGGACGCCTGGGGGAGGCTGGCGCAGAGGAAGCTCTCCTGTGGCAGGATCTGGGAAGGTCCTTCCACCCAAAGGCTTCACCGGTCCCGGGGCAGCGGCCCACGCAGCTCCCGCGGACACGGCCGCAGGGGCGGAGCCTCGCCGACAGGAGCCAGTGGGGCGGGACCTCGAGCCGAGGGGCGGGGCTTAAGAACGGCGCGAGGAGGGGCGCGGTCTCCGGAAATCCAAGAGCCGGGACTCAGACTGCTTCGGCCCGTGGAAGACTGCAATGTAAGCGGCCTCTAACCTGCCTTCCTACCTGTCGACGGGAGAAGAGAGCGGTCCCTGGCTGTAGCACGCGAGAGCCACAACGTTGGCACAGCACCGCCTTCCGGTTTCGGCCCTCGGCTGACACCAACTCGTTTGGGGGCTCCGCTGGCTCCATCGCCGCTGCCGCCACAGCCTCCCTGGCCACGACCACGCAGGCGCTGCTTCTGCTCGCTGGCACTTGACTGCGCTGGCGCGGCTCAGCAGAGGCGGGGCGCGAGCGCACGATCACCCCCTCTGCGCAGGCGTCCGCTTCCACCGCGCTGTAACCTGCTGCGCAAGCGCCCTCATTCATTGCCCAGCCCGGGTGGCWGTCAGCATGGCTTTGTGACAGGGACACCTCCTGTGACCATTGTCAAAACCTTACTCCGCATACCCACCCGGTGACCAGGCTCCCTTTAGTATTAAGATCTAGACAAAGCATTAAGGATGGCCTTACCCTTCAGTTTTCTGCGATTGTAAGCGTCTTGCGAATGGATAGGGATATTATTGGGAATACTGTGGAGGAAATTCGGGTCGAATTCCCCCTTCAGCAAGGTCTAACCATGTTATCTTTTTTTGTAGGAAGCAACTTAAGAGGGATGAATGCCTTTTTGGTGTTGGAAAAGATGCGTGGACGTTTTTGTTACTCTCTGGTCTAATAATAGTGACTACTAGGCAGCAAAGCAACGTGCTTTAGTGGGTTTTGTAACTTGAATCATTGCAGTTTCCTTATGGGGTTGGCACGCTAGGAAGGCAAAGATCAGAAATTTCTTTCCAGAGTCCACAGAATGCAGCTCTAAAATCACTATTCTTATTATACTATATCACCTCAATTATTAGTCTTTACATCTCCAACTTAGTAGTTGCATCTTAGTTACATCTCAGTACATTCTAGTACAATAGGTAACATTTACTGAAATGGTCAGGGAGAACAAAGTAATCTGCCTGCTGTTTTCTGCTGCTTCTTTCATTAGTTCCATTTTTAGTAATAATACACCAGACATGATGCTGCACCCTGGGGTACAATTAGGATCTCTGTATACCTGAATATAACCTGAAGAGGAAGACACTTGAACCCAATAGCATGTAATAAAAAACATTAAGGAGCAAAATACTGTAAATGGACTGGGGAATACTTTTGTCTGGGGAGTTGAAAGGGCTTTACCTAGGTGACCTTTTAACTAGGCATTAAGAGGCGACTGGGATTATCAGGAAAGCCCGATTTTAGAGGGAAAAGTATAATCCACAAACCAGGGTTAAAGCAGATTTAGGAATGGTAAATAGACAAGTGACAGAAGCACATTATCCCTGGGAGAAGGTAGAATGGGACTAGATCTCATGGGTCTAATGTCATACTAAGGAATTTTAACTTTAAAATATAGGCAATGGAAATCTATGGAATTTTAGGCTGGAAATAACCACACTATATACCAATAATCTCTTACATGTTAAGTACTGTAATGATTATATCTGAGCTTCACAAAATAAAGGAATCGGATAACAGAAGAAGAGTAGTAGTAAGGACATCAGGAGATTATTACCTCATGAATCCAGCATAAAGGCCTGAGCTGTCTGGTAGAAGAGAATGAAGATATGGGAATGGATCTGAAACTAAGAAATGTAAGAACTTAGAAACTAACTGGGTGTCTACTGTGATGACAGACAAAAGAGAAAGCTTTCCTTAGCTAAGTAAGTAGGTGACTGACTACTAGTTATAGGAGCTAGAATAATGAGGAACCACCAAATTAGGGAGATCCTTGTGTACAAGTGAGAAAATGTGAAGGTGTGTAAAATTGGGGAATAAAGTAGAAAAGGAGCAGTGAGTTTTACATGTTGATTTYCTGTAGAACATTCAGCTGCGGCTTCATGTTTTACATGAATTTGGTGGCTTCATGTATTTTTGAATTTGGTCTGAATTCAGGAGTTGGTACTAGACCCATCAGTCCTATACCTCCATTTCTGCCTCACCTGCAATTTCCCCTTGATCTCTTCCTGAGATAAGATGAGCCAGGTTTCACAGGCTGTGGTTAGCAGGCACAACCCCAGAAACAAAAAACAAAAACCCCAAAGATCAAACAAAACAAAAAAGCAATAATAAAAACAAAAATTACAATGTGTCAATCCATATGATAAAGAAAGGCTGGCAGGCCTCTGTAGTGAAAATGATTTCCTTTTAAGCACTTCCTTTTGCTCTGAGAACATCCAAATTTTTGCAGTTTCGCAGGCCTTCTGCATAGCTGTTTACATCATGTGCAGTAAATTGAAGTAAACAGAAAAAGGACTGGGGTGGGTGGGTGTGGTGGTACACATCTGTACCCAGTTTACTTGGGAGGCTGAGGCAGAATCTCAAATTTGAGGCCAGCCTGGGAAAATGGCAAGATCTTGTCTCAGTATCAAATAAAAAGGGCTGGGGATGTAGTTCAGTGGTAGAGTGCTTACCTAGCATGCATGAGGCTCTGGTTAATTCCCAGTATGTCAAAAACAAACAAAAACCTATCACAACAAAGGATTGGGGTGACTGAAAAATTCAAGTGGGTGCTAAATAAGTTCAAGACTGCACCTCTTTATTTCCTTTGGTTTCAAGTAAACTCCAGGTGGGAGAGGGGCCAATGAATACGACAAATTCAGATTAACATTGAACAGTTTGGAGAACTTTGTGGCCAAAGTGCTATTTCTTACCCTTTTCTAACAAAAACAGCAGAGCTAGTTGGCACACACACGGTAAACAGATAGAGACAGGACCTACAGCTGATCTGTATGCCTATTCCTTAAAATGTCTGAAGGCAGAGCTCATTAGCAACAAACATGTATGTATATGTGTGTGTATGGTGCTGGGGATGGAACCCAGAGTTCATGTATGACAGGTAAGTGTTCTGCCACGGAGCTATATCCCCTGCCCACACAAACTCTCTTAAAGGCATTTGAGACAGTTGACTTTTTTATTTTCTTAAAAAAATACAAAGGAAATTAATTCTGTAGGTCAATACAACTCAGAAAGAGGAAAAAGTGGAATTCCAGAGCAAAGGGAAAGTGCATCCTGTTTTAAGTTATCACATTCCCACACTCCTATACCCATAATGCTACAACTTTATGACACAGAAGAGGTCTGAATGGTAGCTCAGAAATGGTGAGAGCAGAGGTACTGGAACTAACAAGAATTTTGGTTGTTCTTGATTATTCTGTCCTGGGATGAATAAAATTCACTCGAAAGACAGGTAAGGGAAACTTATAGCAAGAAGACGACTAAATGTACCAAACACAGCAGTAAAAAACACTTCTTAAAAAGAACGGGGCAGTAATCAGGTAGTTAAACTACCAGGTTGCTGCTACCCCCCACCCCATCCCCAAATAAATAGTGTAATAATGTAGTAGTATTTGATTCAACAAAGAAAGTCTTTCACCCTTTCTAGATAAACATTGCCATGGCTACAAGAGTCCTGGCAGGGAATAAGATGATTGTAAAATCACAGGTACTTCTAGTTTATCCCCAGGTATATTTAAGCCATTTCCTCTCATTCCAACATTTGTTCATTCTGTATTCTCTCAGTCTCCAGTGCCAAGATGTATAGCACTTTACTTTTAGAAAGAACTTGGGGTAATAAAAAGATCTTTCAAATAATATATCCTTCTCAGTCTTCTAGGTTATATTTAGTGGTAGTGTAGGTTCACTCACATCCCATCAAACTCAGTTCATGTCACTTATTCTAACCTCAGTTTGGATATACCAAACCTTTTCCCCTAAGGGATGTCACACAGAACTCTTCCCTTGGCCCCCAAAGTTTTGATAGGGCTCTCCCTTTTGTTTTTTTCTGAATGGAACTGTGGAGTCCTCAGCTCTTTGTAGATTAGAAAAGGTATTTGTTCCGGGGTGGGGGCAGGAGGGACTTGGACTTGGACTTTACCAAGCTTACTCAAGCTGGAATCCCTCCAATCATTTAGGCTGGATACTGTCTATATGTAGAGGCCATACCCACCTTAGTTCTCTGCAATGTAAGAGGCAGAAAACACACACACACACACACACTCTCCCAAGCACATGGTAAGAAAGAAATAATAAGAAAGTGCTCCCCAGACCAGAGGGAGAGGCTATCTGGTCTCACATCCATTCACTGTGCATTCTCTTCCCTCGGGTACCTGTTTCACACCCTTGTGTGGGATATTACCAGCGCGAGGGGGAGTGTGGTCAAATAAGTACAATCATCACTGCACTGGTGCTTGTAATCACTCTGTGCACACAGTGAGAAATAGATATTCTGGAAAGGATCCTTGACTCTTCCACAATCTGTCCTCTGGACTGGTCACTAGCTCTGGATGGTGCTCTAACAATGGTCATTTCTCTCGGAGAACACACACACCAGCATCACAGCGCTGGGTTCCCATGGATGTCACTACTTCCCAACTGTCGATGATTGGATCATAGCATTCAATGCTACTCAGCAGGGAATTGCCATCATATCTGAGTGGGGAAAAGCAAAATAAAAGAAATGAGCATTATGTATCAGTCCTTCATTAGGGTTATCACTAGAGATATCTCCTCCACCTAAATTGTCTCCACCCAAAAATGGGGTTTGGATCCCAGAGACTCTTGCCCCGGATGCAGGATTCTACTCTGGTTTCTAAATTCTTACCCTGCAATTGCATAGAGTCTCCCCCGAAGCACTGTGGCCCCTACATAACATCGCGGAGTGGTCATACTAGTGACAGTTGTCCAGGAATCAGTGCGAATGTTGTATGCTTCAACTGAAGAAAGGTGGGCTGTGCCATCAAATCCCCCCACCACATAAATATGGTCATTCAAAAGGGCTACTCCAGCACCTGGGGAAAAAAAAGAGTGTATTAGCCAAGTAATGTTATTGTGCCTAGGATTTGAATTCTAGAAACAAAACATGGTCATTAATGGCTAGCTGTGCTCTGGGGTAGGCAAGGCATATGGAAATGCCCTACACAGGCCTAGAAAAAAATCTAGGGCAGTACAGGTTTTTACATCTCCAGCCCCCACCTCCACACCTTCTATATAGGGACTGAACTTAAGCTCTCTACCACTAAGCTACATTCCCAGACCATCTTCTTGATTTTTTTATTTTGAGGCAGGATCTTGCTAAATGGCTCCAAGTGGCTTTGAACTTATGATCCTCCTGCCTCAACCTTTATTTTTATTTATTTATTTATTTTTTTTAAAGAGAGAGAGAGAGAGAGAGAGAGGAGAGAGAAAGAGACAGAGAAATTTTAATATTTATTTATTTTTTTAGTTTTTCGGCGGAAACATCATCTTTGGTTGTATGTGGTGCTGAGGATGGAACCCGGGCCGCACGCATTCCAGGCGAGCACGCTACTGCTTGAGTCACATCCCCAGCCCCCTCCTGCCTCAACCTTTAGAGTTACTATGATTATAGCTATGCCTGGCTCATCTGTAAACTCTCTGACTAGGACTTAGAATGATAAAAGAAAATTTGAAATGGTTCTCTTCTTCACCTTCATTAACTCAGAGCTCAATCTCTTCACAGTAGGAAGGGGCAATAATGGTGAGAGGAAAGAAAGGAGTCATTACTTTGGTTATGGTCCAATATTTATCCAGAAGAAAACTGGAGGAGTAGTGTTTTCTCTTTTCTTATATACCTAGCCTAGTCAATTTCAAGAAGCTCTCAGTGAAGGTAAACAGCTATTGTTCTGTCCTTATACACTAGATGTTTTATTTAACATATATTACAACAATACAAAATTGTATTAAATATTTTGTCATGTAGGAAGGGAACAAAGACATTAAAATGAGTAAAACAAAAAAGTTTTTGCCCTCAAATTTATAATCTAGTTGAAAGTTTATCTTTTTCTCAATAATATTTAAAGAAAAGAGGCAAGGAAGAAACTTGAATGTAACTCATACAAGTCCATAGGGAAACAGGAATTGCAACTCTGATTTACTGATACTGTCCTGTACATTAATACTGCATGTGTAAAGATTTGACAGCACTGTTTCCTGCCTCCTCCCTCAAATCTACTGGTCTTACCTGAACGCTTGGTAGCCATTGGTGTAACATTAGTCCAGTGTCCAGTATGTGGATCGTATTTCTCAACTGAATTTAAAATATTCAAGCCATCATATCCTCCTGGAAAATAATGTAGAGATCATTCCAACAAGAAAGGTAAACCCTCAGGCCCATTCCCAGTTAGCATTCCCTTAATGCTTCACATAATTTTTTTAGTTTCAATTCTCCCACAGAGTTCTAATAACCCAAACAGAAATCTAATACTACCCTACTGTTTGCTTATAAAAAAAAAAAAAGATAATCCCAGTTAATGGAAAATATATTGAGACAGACCAACATTCCTTGTGGAAGGAAGTCTATGAACTTAATTTGGATAAAAAGGAATTCTACCTAGAATCTGCTAACCATTGAGTTCTCTCCATCCCTGCATCCCAGGCTGAATACCTAGACAGTAGATCACTCCACTGGCCACTACTAGTCCAGCACCCTCTCGAGCTGTCTGCATATCTCCTAGCATGCTCCACTGGTCAATGTTTGGGTCATATCGCTCCATACTGGTATGACGTCGGCTTCCATCAAAGCCTCCAGAGACGTATATCATATCTGTTCAGAATGAACAAATTACAGACTATTAAAGAATGAGAGATTTCAAAGAATTCTTTTCCTTACAATTCCCCACAGATTCTTCACATGTCTGGGAGCAAAAATGTTGTGTTTAACTGGGATAAGTCAATTATGAGTCCGAGATAAGGAAGACAGCACAGTAAAAGATCTTTAAAAAGAATGGTGTAAGATGAAATTCTTAAAAGCATCCAAAGACTACCTGGGAATCTGAAATACAACTAGTGCTAGTTCTCATCCAGCACAATGGAACTTGAATTACCAACTTTGGAGTCATTATTGAAAGATCCACAAATATCAAACAGCTTCTGTAACACTGTCAGTTCCAAAACCAAAAAGAAACATTTGACCTTGCCAGTTTATCCTCCATAATTCCTGCCATATAACAGGAGAGGTAAGAATGCTGATACACTGGTCTAGTTACAGTGAGATGGAAACATGGTCTGCACAGCAAGCCTACCTCCCAGGGTGGTAGCTCCAGCAAGACCTCGTCGGACATTCATAGGGGCCACAGAATACCAGACCCCATCCTCATCTGCTGTGGAGTCTAGACATTCCACTGAACTGAGGCGGGAACGGCCATCATAGCCACCAATTACATAGATCCGGTCATGTAGGGACACTGAGGCCACATAACGTCTCTTACGAGTGATGCTCTATGGATTTGGGAAAGAAGAGGTACAGAGGATTTCATTCAGGCAAGTTTTAGGCCTTACATTTTGCTGTCCTTTCTGTCTTTATTATACACTTCTTTTCTTCTTTTACCTGTCACCATGAACTTTTCCTGAGGCAGTGGTTCCTCCTCAAGTGGCCTCCAGCTGATCGAATGCTGAATGGAATTTTTGCTGTGGTGCTTTCTAGAAGCACATTTACCTTGTTCCAAGATTTCCAAGAGATTTCATGCCTTTCTACTAAACCAAGTAATTGACTTCAGAGGCACTGGGCTAAGAGACTGATATACTTCTATAATGTGGAAAAGTATTCCCACATTGCTAATCAATCACAGGGCTAGTATTCAAAAWTACAAAAGGAAGGACTGATCAAAAGATTTCCAAGTTTTCTCAGAAAATATTTCAGTACTGAAATAATAAATACTGAGGATGAAAGATACAAAGCTTTTTGAGTTCAATTGAACACAAGTTTGATTTAAAACATTTAATACAGCATGACCAGCGGTACCTAAATAATGGTGGACAGCTGAATTAAATTCAAACAGGAACACCAATGTTCCTGAAGTTTAATCTTCTGATTTTCTAACCTAAACTGTTTATTGAGGGGCTTGGGGTGTAGCTCCATGGCAGGGCACTTGCCTACCATGAGTCAGGCTCTGGGTTTGATCCCCAGTACCACAAAAGAATAAAAATAAACAAAACAATCCATTTATGGAGTACCTACTGTGTGTGTAACATTGTAATAAGAAACGTATGTGGCTACTATGCTTTTCTACTCGTGGGCTAGACTGGTTATCATCTTAAGTCAGGAATGTAGGACATTTAAGCTCTCTGTCCACGAATGGTTCCACTACCACTTACTGGCAAAAAGCTCCACTCCTGAGTCTTGGGGTCATATTTCTCTACTACATCAATGGGAGACTGCTGGCTTCCGAAGCCGCCAACCACCAGAAGCACTTCATTGGCTCCTAAGGACAAAGAAAAAATACGTTATGTCATCATCTTTGGCTCGGTAACTACTCCCAGGGAAGAATAAGCATACATAGCTCTAGGTTATCTTGTTTTAAGTAAGCAAAAGCAGCAATCAGGGCTGCTTAGTGGGAAACTATTTCTTCTTAAGAGTCTAGCTCTTGAGAACCTGAATTTCTGAAATGAAAGTTTCTGGACATTAAAACTACAGAAGGTGAACCTGAATATTCCACTACATCATTTCAACATAGCTAGATGATTCTGGCTAACATTGTAACTGGGGTCCTAAATATAGTTGGGAGGCTCCTTTCCTGCTCTCCTCAGCCTGGAAAACCCAAATTGGAAATTTCTTTCTAATGAAGAAAAAAACATTTTCTTAACCTTGTCACAAAAATGGTGAGGGTTAAGGCTTAGAAACCAAGTGATAAGATTTTATTTGTAATTGGTACTGGGTATTGAACCCAAGGGCACTTAATCACTGAGCCATGTATCCTGTCCTTCTTTTTTATTTTTATTTTTAGGCAGGGTCTCGTTAAATTGCTTAGGGCCTTGCTAAATTGTCAACAGTGGCCTTGAACTTGCAATCCTCCTGCGTTAGTCTCTGGGATTACAGACAGGAATCCCTGCACCTGGCAGGATTTAAGAAATCTCTTTTCACAAACATTTATTTTTCCAACTTGGCTAACTATATGATCACATTCTCTGTCAATTCATCAAAACTGTGAGGTTACCAAAGATGAAGCTTTTAAAGGAAAGTCATTCCTTCTATTTTCCCAAAGAAGCTATTCTGACAGCCTTTATTTCCTCCCCTCTCCCCTAAGGTCTTATTCTGATAGAAGATTTCCTACCTTGACTCTTTTCAAAGGGCAAAGTCTATGAGAATTCATGGAGAGAACAGTTGGTGGAGCTTTGGACAATTCAATCACTAGGAAGGCATTTAGGAGACCAAGCAGATCTTATAAGTAACCTGGACTTGAAAGAGCAAATGTAGCACACTTTGAAGCTGACAAGAAAGACAGATGAAGTTATGGATTTGATAATTATCATCAATGGCTGCTACAGTAATTAGGTGAAAAGCTAATATATTATCATTGGACACTGTGTGCTTCCTGATGTGATTGATGAATAGGAAAACAAACAAACAAACAAACAAAAAAACACTACAACCTGTGAAGTAATTTTTCCAAGACACTGAGCCTAAATCTTATCAAGCCTCCAGTACAATCATCAGTCTATACAAAATACAGGGGAAAGAAGAACATGTTAAATAATTTTATAAGGATGTAATCAACAAAATACAGAATAAGGGAGATTTCACAGGTCAAACAGCCTGGTTTTGTCAACAAAGGAAAAACCAAAGCAGGAGGGGAAAAAAAAATCTATGGTTTAAAGACCTAAAGAGACATAGGACACCATTGCACTGTATGGACTTTATCTGATCCTGATTTGAACAATTTCAGTGTTCAAAAACAGGCAACAGGTGGTCATGGTGGTGGCACACCTCTAATCCAAGCTATTCAGGAAGCTGAGGCAGGAGGATCACAAGTTGGAGGCCAAGCTCAATGTCAGCCTCAACAACGTAGCCAGGCCCTAAATAATTTAGCGAGAACCTATCTCAAAATAAAAACCAAAAAGGGCTAGGGACATAGTCCAATGGTAAAATGCCCCTGGGTTGAATCCACAATACCAAAACAAAACAAAAAAAAACCCCAAAAAAACAAAACAAACAAACAAACCCCCAAACCCTTAAAACAACTATTGAWTATGGGGAAAAAAATTAAAAACATATACTTGATATCTAATGATAATAAGGAACCGTGTTTTTTAGACTGATAATTTGGATGTGTTTTTTTAAAAAAGGTCCCTCATCTTTTCAGGATACACGCTGAAGTATATATTATCATAGAATTATATCCTGTTTGGAATTTGCTTTAAAATAGTTAGGCCATGAGTTGTTAATTGTTGAAAGTGGGTGATGGGTATGGGAAATCATTATATCCTCCTGATTTTTTTTTTAATAAATGTTTATAAAATTTTTCTTACCACACACTCACATATCCGTACATGAATCCCAGAATTAACCTCATATTTTAAGAGGGCACCTGTCTTGTGTACTTGCCAAATAAAGCAGACTCTTCCCCAAAGTGAGTCAATAAGTAGGTTTCAGTAGGCAGCTCCTTAGAAAAACAAAGCATTTGAATGCAGGTTCCTTTAATATTAAGCTACTTTTATGTGCCTAAAATTTCCTCAAGCTGGAAGAGGCCAGAACTATAAGTTCTTTGTGTCTTCCATGGCCTGGCTACATTGCTGAGGCTGACATTGAGCTTGGCCTCCAAATTCCATGGCAGCACTATCTCCCCTACCTATCTGCCTTTTTAAAAAAATATTTATTTAGTTTTAGCTGGACACAATATCTTTATTTTATATTTATGTGGTGCTGAGAATCGAACCCAGTGCCTCGTGCATGCTAGGTAAGCACTCTACCACTGAGCCACAACCCCAGCCAATATCTTCCCTTCTTACCCTACCTCTTCCCTTCCTGATCTGAACAGAGAATGTGAGAGTGATTGTTCTAACTAAACACATTTCCTCTTGTAGATGAATGTGACACTAGGTGAAGATATCTGTAGGTAGAAGGGAATGAAGATAGCTACAACAACTGAGAAGTACTTCCTGCACTTGGCAAATTTTAATTCCACTGATTTAAAAAGATTAATGCTCTCATTAAAAAGATTTTTAAAAACTATTTTTCTATTCCACTGATTTTTCAACTGTTACTTTGTTGCTTTATGTAATTTCTAGATTAAAAAAAACTGTATTGATATGATTTTATTGAGGAAGCTTTTGAAAGATGAGGCACAGAAGCAGATAAGAAATGGATTATTACAAAACCCTAAGAACTAACAGTACTTCCAGTTAATTGAAGGTTTCTCAGTAAACAATCTTTCTACAGCAGAACTTGGAAGAAGTGTCAGTGTGAGTCACTTGGGGAATTTATGGTTCCAGGGGGCTGGGCCCCAGGGTCATTAATCCCAAACATCTTTGTTATGAAAGACTTCATCTTGTGTTTTGAGAGACTAGTAATAAAGTAATTTCTTTCTTCTTTCTTTTATTTTCCTGAAGTACTGGGGATTGAAACCAGGGGCGCTCTACCACTGAGTTATATTCCCAGTCCTTTTCATTTTATTTTTGAGACATTCTTACTAAATTACCAAGGCTGGCCTGCAACTTGTGATCCTCCTGCTTCATCTTCCTGAGTCACTGGGATACTGGCATGAATCACCCTTCCTAAGTTATCTTTAAGAAAAAGCAACTCAAGCACTAATATAGTCATCCTCCCCTTTCACATAATTAATATGTGAATTAATGCTCTCATTAAAAAGATTAATGCTCTCATTAAAAAGATTTTTAAAAACTATTTTTCTAATTATTAATACAGAATATATAATACATTTTCACTAAAAACTTGGAAAACAAACATTATGCTTGTTTCATATGATGAAATACTATTTTATATTATGAAAAATTTACCCATAATTCCACAGTACAAAGACATATCAAAATGTAACATTATTTCCTTCCAGATGTGTTTCTACATATTTATAAAACAGAAATGGGACCATATATATTTATTCTGCAGTTTTTATTTCACTTTCCAAAGATATTAACAAAATATTTCAATACATGGTTATAATATTCTTAGGCATTTCAGGGGTTATAATCAATCACATATAAATATCCTTGGAAATGAAAATTTCCTGGTTATATTTTGTTTTGTGTTTTGGTGCTAGGGATTGAATCTAGGGCTACACGCATGCTAAGCACACAATCTACCACTAAGCTGTATCTCCCAGGTACTGACAACTTTCTTAACCAAGAAACTGAAGGATTGCTGGAGTGAAAAATGTGAACTGGAAAAAGACTTCTGATAGAAAAGGACTTTTTGAGACTATACCAATTTATTCTCCCACCAACACTATTAAAAGGCCAACTCATTCAATGCTTTGTAGCACTGAATATTGTTTTTTAATATCTAATATTCTGGTAGGAAAGTAACTGTTTTCATTATTATTTTATTACTAATAAAGACTATTATTAATTAGGTTTAACTTTCTTCCTTTATATTTACTAGTCAATTATATTTGTCCTTTTCTGAACTGTATAGTCAAGTCTTTAAATGGTTTTAACCCTTTACTGTGGTAGTGCCAAACTTATTTTCCTAATTTGCCCTAAAATTTGTATGAGTTTTTATTTAGTTCAATGTGCTTTCCTTTGTTATTTGCTTTTTGCCTAGAAAGTCTCCTCTGGAAGGACTCCTAAGGATTTAATATCCTTGGATCCTAAGTTGGGGACCAATACACAAAACAATTTGACTAATGTGTAAAACAAATATAAAAGGGTCAACTGGAAGGAAGCTTATTGTTTTTTGCCAATAAATGTATTTTTTTGGTTTTGTTTTTGTATTTGTATGGAATGCAGGGGTGCTTTATTACCAAGCTATAAATCCAGCCCTTTTTATTGAGACAGGGTCTTGYTGAGTTGATCAGAGTCTTACCAAGACACTGAGGCTGGCCTCAATCTTGTGATCCTCCTGTCCTCCTGACTTGCTAGGATTACAGGCATGTACCACTTGATGGCCCTCTCCCCTTGTGGTCCCTTTCTTCTCTTCTACTGATCTCCCTTTGCTTTTTGTGAACACCTCAAAGGGGTACTTATTTATTTATTTATTTTTTAATGAGAAAAGTGTGTCTAGGATATCTGACAAGAACAATGTGGAGAAAAAACCCACATCACTAAAACTGAGGCATCCTGGTAGTGACGTGTTCTTTATTTTAGGGACAGGGGAGAAATGTGTTTCAAAATATTAGCCAGTATAGTTGTACTATAATCTAGTCAATCATTCATTCCCCTTCAGATGGAATTAAGGCTGTATTCCTTTTTTTCTGGCAACATTATCAGTTTATGGTAAGCATTCTTATATATATTTTTATTTGTACAGCATAGATTCCTAGAAGTGGGGCATTTTATTTATAAATTATAGAAATGTACATTTTATTTTGGGTTTTACATATTTTTAACTCAAATAATTACTTTGTTTAATATTAATTTCTAGACCTTCTAGTGAAGTATATTTTTATTTTTATTTTTTGCTGTACCTGGGATTGAACCCAGGGGTGCTGTATCACTGAACTACATTCCCAAGCCTTTTTACCTTTTGAGATAACTGGGATTAGAGGTAGGTGTCACCATGCCTGGTATGAAGTGTATTTTTATTTTATTTATTTATTTATTTATTTATTTTAATATTTATTTTTCAGTTTTCGGCAGACACAACATCTTTGTTTGTATGTGGTGCTGAGGATCGAACCCGGGCCGCATGCATGTCAGGTGAGTTCGCTACTGCTTGAGCCACATCCCCAGCCCTGAAATGTATTTTTAAATGTTAAAGGTCACTTTTATTTTCTCTTCTGTATGCTATTATACAGCAATTTTGCTGATCTCCTATTATTATTTTTTCTTGTTGATTTATGTGGGTTGTTTTCATATTAAAAATATTAACCATATAGAATATGTATTTTTCCAGTTCATCTCTTTGTTTTTGCCATCAATTTAAAAATATATATATATAACTGATATAGTTAAGTAACCTTGTGAGAATCTGTTTTTCTATCTTGGCTAGAAAGGTTCCTACTCATTAGAATTGTTGTTTAATGGGTACAGAGTTTCAGTTTTGCCAAGTAAAAAGAGATCAGATGATTGATTGGTTATACAAAAATGTGAATGTGTTTAATACTATTCATTTGTATATTTAAAAATAGTCATAATGGCCAGGTACAGTGATATACACTTCTAATCCCAGTGGCTCAGGAGGCTGAAGCAGAAGGACTGCAAGTTGAGGCCAGCCTCAGCAATTTAGCAACACCTAAGCAACTTAGTGAGACCCTGTTTCCAAATAAAAAATAAAAAGGGCTGGGGACATGGCTCAATAACTAAGCACCCCTGGGTTCAATCTCTGGTACCCAAAAAAAAAAAAAAAAAAAAAAAAAGTTATAATGGCAAAATTTACATTACATTTATTTTACAATTTAAAAAGATAAGGCTTTTCATTCAGAAGTTAAAACAAATATTTCTCTATACCTTCTAATATTTTTATAATTTTATATATGTGGTTCTTTTTTTTTTTAAGAGGGAGTGAGAGAGGGGAGAGAGAGGGAGAGGGAGGGAGAGAGAGAGAGAGAGAGAGAATTTTTTTAATATTTATTTTTTAGTTCTCGGCGGACACAACATCTTTGTTGGTATGTGGTGCTGAGGATCGAACCCGGGCCGCACGCATGCCAGGCAAGCGCGCTACCGCTTGAGCCACATCCCCAGCCCACATATGTGGTTCTTGTGTTAACATATATTTCTGTATATATTATATGACATACAGATCACATTTTGTCATTCTGCAGGAATTATCAGAACAGTACCATCTATAATGCCTTATCTGAGAGTTCCCTTTTTTAAAAACAATATCTTTGGGTGGTGGGATTATGGATGATTTTTTTAAAAAAATATTGTTTTAGTTGTCAATGGACTTTTAATTAATTAATTATTTTTTTTTWAGGGAGAGAGAGAGAGAGAGAAAGAGAAAGAAATTTTTAATGTTTATTTTTTAGTTTTCGGTGGACACAACATCTTTGTTTGTATGTGGTACTGAGGATGGAACCTGGACTGCACGCATGCCAGGTGAGCGCGCTACCGCTTGAGCCACATCCCCAGCCCCTAATTAATTAATTTTAAAATTTATTTTGGGACCAGGAATTGAACTCAGGGGCACCTCGACCACTGAGGCATGTCCCCAGCCCTGGATGATTTTTATTTTATGCTTCTCTATATTTTTAAAATTTTTACTTAGGACAAGGGATGTGGCTTGGTGGTAAAGCATTTGCTTATAATGCACAAACCCCTAGATTTGATCTTTAGCACCACCAAATAAATAAATAAAATTTATACCTTGAAAATATGGTACTTATGATATTAAAAAAGAGAGAAATAAAACACTATTCCCCTTAAACCTATGAGTGACCAGTTTAATTATCAATTATGTTCCTAGCATGCATGATTCCATAGCAAGATAAGAAAAAGGAAACAATAAAAATACCACTTCATATATATAGAGTAATTCATAATTTATAAAATACTTTTACACATTACAGTTAGTGTCTTGGGACAGTGAACTAGAGACAATAGGAAATGGGAAGAGAAGAACTATCTTCACACTTACTCTGTGCCAGCTCTGGTAGGAATCTTACTTGTATTGTCTCAATTAATCCTAGTGACCCAGTGGGATAAGAAACCAACCCTCATTTTAGAGGCAGAAGGATAGGCTCAGATAAACTGTTATCATGTCCAACCAAGACAGCAACTGGTGGGGCTGGGATTTGAAACCTAGGTTTGTTTACTAAAATAATAGATAACAAGAACTATGCTAGGCCTTCACAAATTACTTCCTTTGAAATAGCTTTAGAGGTAGGTGCTATGATGATTCCTATTTTACAAGTGAGGCAATTAAAGCACAGAGAAGTTGTTTCCTACCCAAGTTAATGTATCTAGTAAGTGGTGAACTGGGATCTATACCCACAAGTCTGGCTCCAGGGTTGGGCTCTTGTGCATGTAACTGCTAATGTTCCTGTATTTTCTACTATATTGGGTTACTTTTCCTTCCTTTTTTCATTCTAGAATGGAAAAAAGAACCTCGCTAAGGACAAGGGGAGAAGTGGGAGAGAGTATTACCACTTACCATATGACATCCAAAATAGTCTCTCACAGAATCCAAAAATACTCAAAGAAAATTGTAACATATTACATAACACTTGACAATATATAAAGTACTTTTAAACATTATCTCATTTAATTTCCAAATAGTTATGTGAAATACATAGGAAAGATATTCTTGCTTCCTAGGAAAGGAAGCTTAGAATGCAGTGACTTGCCTAAGATGACAGAATAAAAGATTAAGAGCAGGTCTGAAACAAAGTCTTTGTACTGCTTACAGAATGTCTTTTCAATTGTATTATGCCACCTGAAAGAGGTAATTGAGAGACATCACCTAATTCAGTCAAGATGCCAGCTTACCTAGACGAGCTCTTGTCCTGGGTCCCTGCATCTGACTCCGAAGTTCAGGCCTCAGATGAAACTTCTTTGCTTCATCAACTAGATCCCTGCACTGTAAACTACAGCGAATGAAAGGCTGAAATACAGCAGAGAGCAGAGTGAGCCACATAGACCATTTCTAATACTGCAAGATTAAAATTTTGCATACAACGAATGAATTTAATACAGAAAACCAGTTTCAAAGGTTTGTGATTTCAGAAGGATTGCTGCTAGTAACTATGCCATGGGTTTCCAGAAACAATTTAAAAAATTTATTTATTTAGAAGAGATAATTTATTACATGGATCAAAAATCAAATGAGAGGGAGCTGGGGTTATTATCTCAGTGGTAGAGTATATGCTTGGCATGCTCAAGGCCCCATGCTCAATCTCCAACACCCACACACCCAAGCAAAAGATACAAAACGATATATTGAGAATACATATATATATTCCCCACTAACGTTGGCACTTATGAGGAATTGCTTTTATTAGTYTGTATATCCTTCTAGAGATTATACAAATACTATTAATTAATATTACTAATTTTTTTTTAAAGAGAGAGAGAGGTAGAGAGAGAATTTTATTTTATTTTTTATTTTTTTAAAGACAGAGTGAGAGAGGAGAGAGAAAGAGAGAGAATTTTTAATGTTTATTTTTTAGTTCTTGGCAGACACAACATCTTTGTTGGTTTGTGGTGCTGAGGATCGAACCCGGGCCGCACGCATGCCAGGCGAGCGCGCTACCGCTTGAGCCACATCCCCAGCCCAATAGTACTAATTAATTCTTAATTAGTAAGAATTTAAGGAAAAAGCAAAAGGCTTCTGTCATTTTCTGGGATGAGAGGGAGGAAATATATCTTGTCTGAAATAATTTCCCCAGGGTTCACATGGGCACTGTCACAATGCCCAGGTCTATTTCCAAGGAGCTCTGTACTGTCATTTGACTCTCAGATTCGCTATCCTCCTCCATTCTACTCTGGTTCAGAGGATTGCCCTGTATGAACTATGTCAATAAGGTTCCATAACCCCTGGCTTCTGGTTGGAATTGGCCCAACCAAAGGTTAAAGTTTCTCTTAAGAGAGCGAGTCTCTCCATGATTCTCTTTCCTTTCATGTTCTCATAACCATTCCTCTACTTTGGCCTTTCAGGATTAAAGGTTGTTAACAGCTTGGCCGTACAAAAGCCCTGTTATTTCATTTTCTTTTGTTGTTTCTCTACACCAACACCTTTGTAAACAGCTCCTCTATAAACCTTCCTTAAACTGTACTATTTTGAGCACACCATCTGTTTCCTATGGGGACCCTGACTGATACAAGCTCTAATTACATAGCACATCTATTAACCTGGTCCAAGAAGGTTTTAATATGAATTGGAAAGGGAAACAAATAATAATAGCAAAGACACAATTCTTTTCTTTTAGGGAATATCATGCTCCAAACATTCTTTATTTTATATACTAGTTTTTATGCGGTGCTGAGGATCAAACCCAGTGCTTCACATGTGCTAGGCAAGCGCTCTACCATTGAGATACAACCTGCAAAAAAAACAGTTCTAAAAGCGTTTATTTACTTAACACAACCACCTCTGAGGTGGATAACWTTATTCTGTTTGTTTTGTTTTGTTTTTGTGGTTCTGGTGATTGAACCCAGGGCTTTGCGCATATGAGTGAGCACTCTACCAACTGAGCTATATTCCCAGTCCCCCGTTATTCTGTTTTACAGACAAGAAAGCTCAGGTACAAATATACTAAGTAATCTGTCTAAAGCTCATATAGTAAGTGTTGGATTTGGGATTTTAGCCCTGATTGCGGCTCCAGAGTCAATGCACTATCTATAATAGATAGGTGAAGAACTGGACACAAGGGACCAGGTACAGTGGTGCACACCTGTAATCCCAGCTACTGAGGAGGCTGAGGCAGGAGGATTGCAAATTTGAGGCCAGACTGGGCAATTTAGCAAGACCCTGTCTCAAAAAATACAAGGGCTGCTGGGTATGGTGGCAGATACCTGCAATCCCAGTGGCTTGAGAGGCTGAGATAGGAGAATCACAAGTTTAAGGTCAGCCTCAGCAACTCAGTGAGGCCCTAACCAACTTAGAGAGAGCCTGTCTCAAAATAAAAAATAAAAAAGGGCTTGGGATGTGGCTCAGTGGTTAAGCATCCCTGGGTTCAATACCTAGCACCAAAATAAATAAATAAATAAATAAATAAATAAATAAATAAATAAATAAATAAATAAATGGGCTGGGCATGTAGCTCAGTGGTAGGGTACCCTGGGAGGAAAAAAAGAACAACAACAACAAAAAGATTGGATGCAAAGCATATGTGCAAGGTTTTAAGAAAGAAAATGTTTTTGTATTTAACTTCCACACTGACTCAGGGCTGTGTCCACAGAAGGAACTCATTTGCTAACCTGGACCTACATGTTATAAATCAGTGTTCTCTCACGGTATGGTTAAGGTAATAGGTGGTATGTATTATAAAACTTTTAAAAACATACTACAAAAATCTTAAGTTGAGGAAACACTTCTGTAAGTAAACTCAACATTTAAACAAAGTTGATAGTAAAATGCATCAGTTGGGCACAGTGGTACACACTTGTAATCCCAGTGACTTGGGAGGCTGAGGCAGGAGGATCAAAAGTTCAAAGCCAGCCTCAGCAACTTAGTGAGGACTTAAGCAACAGTGAAATCCTGTCTCAAAATAAAAAAATTTAAAAAAGGCCAGGGATGTAGCTCAGTGGTAAAGCATCACTGGGTTCAACCCCCAGTTCCAAAAAGAGAAGAAGAAAAAGAATAAAATAAAGTATATTAAACTACATTCACGCTGGCTTCACTAGAGGGCAAAAATAAAGAGGCTTGCTAAGCAAAGCATATCTGCTCTTCTTTTCAGGACAATCTATAACAATTTGTGTGCAATAGGGAAGGGAATAAAGTATATCATCTGATGTTGCTTAAGTAAAACTCTTAGAGGTATGTAAACAAACACACACACACAAAATTAAATTAAACCACAGATTTTGACTAGTGTCAGGAGTCTGACTTCTACTTTTCTTAGAAATGTGCCTGATGAGTATCCAGCACTATCCTCTCTGGCATTCCTGGAGAGGCAAACCAAGAGACTCCAAGCACACTAAAATGACCAGTTTTAAGGACACAGTAAATATTAAACTATAGGAGCTAGTCAAGGGTTTGGATTCAGAGAGTCTTGCATGACTTACCTCAGCATCTATTACATCTGTAATGTACCTGGGCGTCAGTAGGGGCATCCGCACATATTGTAGCAGGTCAGGCAAAGATTCTTCTCGCTCTTTCTTGGCATGCTTCACCCAATTGATGACAGCCTCAAAGACTGGCTCTTCAGAATCTACCTGTAAATGTACAATTACACATCATGAATTTTTTGCTTTTATGATTAGCTCACAATCTCAAAAAGTGTAACGATGTTTACTTGGTCCTTTCTGCTCTCTGTTGCTCAACACCATTACTTCCCATCTTCCAGAAATAGGTAATAAACACTCTTTTGGAAACAATTTCTTTGGAAACAATCTTTTTAGACAAAGATTTTACACTGTCAACTTTGATTAAACAACAACAACAGAGATTAAGATAGTACCCAATTAATAATAGGTCACTTGTTGCCCATTTCTGAATTTTTGCCTGGTTATTTCTGCAACCTTAGGGAAAGTGGGTAGGAGAATCTGTGGTCCAAATCAAAAGCTCTTGAAGTAACTTTTATTCATAATTCTGGTCTAAATATTCTGGGTTTATCTTCCAAATCATCACACAAGCTCTGAAGCAGAAGCTTCTATTGTCATCATCTGGAATGCTACAGTTTTCAAAGCACTGTCACTTAGCATTTAAGCAACTATTAAGTATTAGGCACTGTGTTATTTGAGATGTTATATATAATTAATCATTTGGGGAACTTAGGTATAGGCTTGTATATAACAAACTGGATAAGATAAGACYTCCTAAAAAGCCTTATGTTATACCACCAGGACACTAACTATAACAACACCTAGGACTTCCCAAAGACAGACACCAAAGAATAGGTCCCTGTGTCCTTACCACCAGGCACTAGGGTATGTTCTGAGAGATACCTTTTAGAGTATCACTGGGACTAGATTAAAACAAAACAAAACAAAAAACTACCCTGTGAGCTTTTTTTTTCAAGAACTATGGTATTCTGGAAGTGCAGAAAGTGTTTCAGAAAGTTCATTCATTTGATGGACTTACTGAAACCCAACGAAGTGCCAGGCATTGTCCTGAAACTGACTATGTAGCAGTGAATAAATCAGATATGATACTTCCTCTTAAGTGGAGAGGCAACTGTTAAATGGAAAACTGAACAATCTGTTAATACGTACTCTATAGGAAAATACTAGTGATGAGAGAGAATAGCATGTGACTTCCTAATTTACATTAATAGGTCAAGGAAGGCCTCTCTGGAGAAGCAATACATTTCAATCTGATGGATGAGTAGCACATAGCCAGGGAGAAGGAGAGTACTCTAAGGAAGATAGAAGAGCACATTCAAAAGTACTCGTTCAGCTGCACTGTCCAATATGGTAGCTACTAGCCACTCATGGGTATTACATTTAAATTAACTAAAATTAAATCAAAACTTTAGCTTCTAGTTGCACTGATCACATTTCAAATACCTAACAACAATGTGTGGCTAGTGGCTATTAAACAAGACAGAACAGATCATTTCCCCTTTTACAGAATATGCTGTTGAACAGCACTCTCCTAGAGAAAAAAAGAACTGGCAACTTGAGGAAATGATAGAAGGCTAGTGTAGTAGAATGAATGAAGAAATGGAAAAAATGATAACAATAATCCCAGCAGCTCAGGAGGCTGAGACAGGAGGATTGTGAGCTCAAAGCCAGCCTCAGCAATGTGAAGCACTAAGTAACTCAGTGAGACCCTGTCTCTAAATAAAATACAAAAAATAGGGCTGGGGATATGGCTCAGTGCTGGAGTGCCCCTGAGTTCAATCTCCAGTACCCCCCCACAAAATAAATAAATAAATAAATAAATAGATAGATAAAAACAGATTATGATGGAGAGGTAAATAAGGGCAAGATCCCAGAAGGACATAAGACGACTGGATTTTACTTTAACAGAAACTGGGAATTATTAAAAGGTTTCAAGCAATCTAGAAATATCAGAATTTTGGTGTTTTATACAGATTACCTGGGGCCAGGCATAGTGGTACACCACTCCTAACAACTAAGGGGGCTGAGGCAGGAGGATAGCAAGTTCAAAGCCAGCCTCAGCAACTTAGTGAGACTCTGTCTCAAAATAAAAAATAAAAAGGGGGTAGGGAAAGAGTTAAGTGCCTAAGTGCCCTTAGGTTCAATCTCCATTACCCCCACCCCTCAACACACACACACACACACACAAATGGATGTACTAGAGAAGTATTTGCGAGGTCAAAATATTCCAGGATATTGATGGAGTAAATTCAGGGGAGGGTGCAGAGTGTGTCCATGATTTGGTAAGTTTTTGTTGCTGTTAAAGGAATGATAGTTTAAAGCAGATGCATGCTAGATTCTTGAAACATTCTATATTTAAATTACTATCTATCTATTTTATTTATTTATTTGTGGTACTGGGGATGGAACACAGAGCCTCACACATGTTGGCAAGCACTCTATCACCAACCTACATTCCCAGTGCCTTTCTTTTTTTTTTTTTTTT